TCTACAATGTTACTCAGCATGCTGTTGGCATTGTTGTAAACAAACAAGTTATGGGCAAGATTCTTGCCAAGAGAATTAACGTACGCATTGCGCATATTAAACACTCAAAGAGCTGAGATAGCTTCCTGAAGTGTGTGAAGGAAAATGATCAGAAAAAGAAGGAAGCCAAAGAGAAAGGTACTTGGGTTCAACTGAAGCGCCAGCTTGCCCTACCCAGAGAAGCACACTTTGTGAGAACCAATGGAAAGGAGCCCAAGCTGCTGGAACCCACTTCCTATGAATTCATGGCATGATAAATGTAAAGAAAATAAAAGACCTCAAGACTGTAAAAAAAAAAAAAAGAAAAGAAAAAGATAGGAGTGAAGAGAGTTCGTTCTCAAGGGAACACACTTTATGTTTAACAATAAGCATGAGGTGACCTTGGCCAAGTTCATGAACCTCTGGGAGTTTCTGTTTCCACATCTACAATGTAGAGATGATAATGCCTCCCTCAAAGGGCTGTTGAAAGATTAAGTGAAATAATGTATGAAAGGACCCAACACAGAGCCTGTAACATGAGAGGGCATACTACTATTAATATTAATGACAGAAGGGGTAATAATTAATATTAACGACAGCACAACAGGGCAGGGAGCTTGATGTGCATTTCTGTTCATTCATTCGTTCAACAGATGTGAATTAAGCATTTAATACTGATTCAGGCTCTGGAACATAATAGTAAACACAAAAGAAAAAGTTTATATTCTACTAGGGTAGAAATCCAATAAAAATATAAAACGTTACGTAATATAATTTCAGATTATGAAAACTTCTGTGAGGAAAATGGAGCAGAGTAAGGGGTAGAGAGAAGATGAGTTAATGGAGCAGAATTCCAATGCTCTTTCCATGATAACTCCACGGCCTCTGAACAGACCTCGATAAAAACATCATTTCTCCTGGAATATGTTTACTTCCACTGACCCGTCGCATTTAGCCTCAGACTGGAGTGAGAGAGAATTCACAAAGGAGGAACTCCATCACAGGCTCAGAATGGGAGTATGCCTCAAAGACAAGCACAAGGAAAGAAATGATTCTCGAGTACCAAGTCCTTTCTTTGGATTCTGGCATCTTCCCCGTGAGTATGCACAAGCTCTAAGGGACGGATGGGAGTATGCCTCAAAGACAAGCACAAGGAAAGAAATGATTCTTGAGTACCAAGTCCTTTCTTTGGATTCTGGCATCTTCCCCGTGAGTATGCACAAGCTCTAAGTGACGTCTATCCTGCTTTCTCAGAGTGTGGTCCTGGCAAATGGCAGCAGCAGCACCTGGGAATTCCGTGGAAGAGTTAATTCCTGGGCCTGATCTCAGACCCACTGAATCAGAAACTCTAGGGGCCCAGAAATCCGTGTTTTAGCATCTCTCTGGGTGATTCTCATGCACAGTAAAATTTGAGAACCACTGGTCAACAGAAATATTACTAATGATAAAGTGTTGTAATGATGACTACCAATTAATGAGTGCTATGTTTCCAGACATGGAACTCAGGGTGCTTTGAACATATATTATTTAATCCACATAAGAAGGGTCGGGTACAATCATCCCCACTTTGTAGAAGAGGGCCACAGGGTGTAGAGAGTGTCGATAATGTGCCAGGTGACAGGCCAGGACTCACACTCTCATCTTCCTGATAGCAGGAAGGTGGACTGTCATAATCAGTAAGCTCACACTGAATAAGACACTTTTGGACTGGATTTCTCAATCAGTGCGTGGCTATGGAATCATACAATCTCTTAACCTGCTTCTCCATATCCCTAATTCCTTTTGTAATGTATATACATATTCTTTGAATTCTGTACATCTGTTCACCCTAATGAAATATTTTAATGTCAAGAGATTTTTTTCCCATAGTGGACAGAAAGGGAAATAAGTGACCAAATGTTCATAAACAAGTTAAGTTCTCCAAACTGCAACAGACCCTTTTACTCAGCAAATTAATAACAATTCCCAGTATTGTGGGAAGGTACTGAGAATCATGCTTAAGAGCAGAATGAGCAGGGTGACTGCTCATAAAATTGGTTTGAGAACAAAACTGATCACATTCTGAGGAAAAGGGAAATGTTCCATGAGGACTGTTCCTGACTCCTGTCCATTTCTGTATCTATCAGGCCTGCTTTTTTCCTCTATCTTGGAGCCCTGTACCGCCCCTAAACCCCACTTCAGAGAAGCCCCCAACCCTCTCCTGAAGGCTTAGGCCTTGGATATGTGGGTTTTATTAAGCATTTTTTTTAATTTTTATTTTTTTGGATATGCGGGTTTTAGATGTGCTAGTCCAATACCCTGGGTCTCAGCATGGCCATTCTTGGTGCAGCCCAGAGTTACCTGCAACCCAGGTCAGATCATTCAAATCGTGATTCCAGGACCTACTTCCAAACTTGTGAGTTGGCATGAGAAACTGAGTTCCTGTCCTGCTCGCTGTGTCTAAACCTCATCCTGGGAACCTCTGGGTCTGGGATATTGTTTTTCTCTCGCTAGACATCCCTGCTGGCCTCTGGGCCCCAGCCCTGGGTTTGGGGCCTTTGCTCCCTCCTGACAACTGTCATTCAATTTGTCCGCTCTAAAGTGTATTCCATTACCAACTAAGCCCTAACTGTGGATGTTTGGAGGTAGGACACATTCTAATACTCTGAGTGTAAAACTTGGCTGTGCTTAGGGAAAGCAAAAATTCCTGGGCCCCATCCTTAAGCATTTTGAGTCAGTGGGTCCAGGGCCTTGGAACTTGTATTTTTACCATAAGTCTGAGTCAGCCACTTACTGACCAGCATTTCAGAACCTCTCTCAAAACCTTCTCCCTGCTTAAGAGATGCGGGCATTAGAATGCACACGTGGAAATGAGGGCCTTCAGTCTGCTAATTTCTCAGGGTCTCAGAATTCCAAACAAGGGCTATGGGGTCAGACAGGAATACAATGAAGACACGGTTCAGGCCGGCTGGTGGCAGGCGTGGGGCAGGGCAGAGATTTTGCATCCTAACAAACAGCAGTCTCAGAAAGGGGCCTCTGAGCCACCACCTGGTTGCTTGCTTTCTTTCTTTTTTTAAGTAGGCTCCACACCCAGCGTGAAGCCCAATGCAGGGCTTAAATTCTTGACCCTGAGATCAAGACCTGAGCTGAAATCAAGAGTTGGACGCTTAACCCAGGTGCCCCCACCGCCTGGTTTCTTATCGTGGTTCAGCCACTTACTGGTTGGGGAGTCTCTGTGCTCAGCTTCCACATCTATATTTTAGGGAGAATTATGGCTCTTACCTCAAAAGGTTGGTAAGAGGATTAAATGTATTAATGTATGTAAAGTGCTTAAAACATTGCCTTATAGATGCTATGTGTTTGTCATTATTCTCACTACCCCGTCTATGCCAGGAACAGGAAAGGAGATGCAGGAACCTGAAGTAGGCAGGACATTCTCCTCATCGCTCTTCCTTCTGACCCAAAGGGACCCTTGCCTCAGGGCCTTTGCACTTGCTGTTCTTGTTTCTGGAATGCTCTTCCCTGGGTAATTCTTCCTCCCTCACTTTACTCACATCTTTTGTTAAATGTCATTCCCTCAGAGACCCTTTCCCTGGCCAACCCATTTAAAGAGGCCCTGGTCCTGGCACACTCTGTCCCCTACCCTGTTTCATATTTATCCAGAGCCTTAGCATTACCTGATATCACTTTCTTTTTTTGTTTATTGCCATTTCTCTCACACTGAATATAAACTCCATGAGAACAGGGATTATTATAAGTTTGGTTCACTTCTGTATTCCTAGCACCTGGGACAGTACCTAGCAGATAGCTGGCATTCAATCAATATTGAGTAAATGAACGAATGAATGAATGAATGAATGAACGAATGAATGAATGCCCAAGCTGCCTGCGCTCAATCAGAGTTTTGGGAACGTTTGGGTCTAGGAGACAGACACCCAACTCCTGGAGTAACAGATGCGTGACAACCTCACACTAGTGTGAGCACCTCTGAGATCATCTCTAATGACGTGGTCCTTGACAAAGAATATGTTTGCCATACATGTTAAATGTTAAGTGTTGTCCTCCACTTACGAAAATGATGTAAACCTGTAGTATAGACTTTGAACCACTTCCTCAGGAGAGGTGACATGGACACCCACATGCAGTGTGGCAGCAGACATTTCTAGGAACGTGGTGATGGGCTTCTTCCGTCGGGGGGGGTGGGTGGGTGACTGACCTACAAAGGAATCTCACCAGGACCCTGGTCTTATTAACACCTGCTCCACAGACTTCCATCCCAGATGGAAAATGAGGAACCTGACTCTCAGGAGAAATTCTGTACACAGCCTTGTGCCATACCTATGGAATTAGATAATCAGCACTCTCTGGTATGAGATGTGATTGAGGGGCTGAGAAGGGAAAGGAATTTATGGTGTTTGAGGCAACGGTATGGTCAGAATAGCTACATAAATTCCCTGAATCCATTTCTAGGAGTCAGTTGTTAATTTGGCGGAAAACAATCACTTCTGCCCAACCTTCCAAAAGACGGTGCTAACGTAAACCTTACCAAACACCCGATAATTACCTTTTGATAATATACACCTTAAAAAGTTTCAAGACCCAGTAATGCTATTTTTAGACAAAGTTTTTTTTTTCTATTTTTTGTATTTTCTATATTTTTCCAGGAAATCTTGTGACGTTCCTAATTTCTAAAAACTTCTTACAGCGGAATAATGGTCCAATAAAGAACTGAAAAACCATAGATCAGATTTGTTCAAAATGGAGAGCTTTCATTTTTATAAGTGATGAAGAAGCCTGGACAGATTCATTATAAAATAGTTTTAGATTCAGAAACAGGAACTGAGGGCAGAAATGCTTCCACCTTTCCTATTTTGGTTTAAAATGAAAAAATTACTATGATACACTTGTGGTTAATTATATAACATTTAGCATTTTTTTCCCTTAAAAGGAAATATTGACTCGAATTGCTCACAAATCTAAATCAAGGACTTCTTATGACATACCTTTAAAACAAAGCAGTAGTCAGTGGGTGCTTTATATTTCATTTTACACTGAATCCCATAATAAATGTTGACATTTTCAAACTGTATAAAACATGCCAGATCTCGAGATGTCTGAAAGACAAGGAAAAAAATAACCTTAACTGAGTTGACAGCTAATAATTTTTCAAGGCTGTCCTTGATGGCACAACTAAGGATTACATGTTAGCAGAAAAATATTGAATTTTAGGTAACTTATTTAAGCATCTATCATGTATATATTTTCTGAAAGTCAAGCCGGCATTTTTAGAGGTAAAAGAGCACACCCCAGACAAAACGGTGTGCCATAGACCCAGCAGTGGAGTGGAACGTTGTACTGCTTTTCTGGCACCTGTATGTGGACTCCCAGGGCCAGAGCTGACTGGCTGACCTTGAGCCGCTGTTACTGGTGCGGTCAAGGCGAGGGGACTGACCACCTAGTCAGAAATTTCATTCTGGCTTCTGCCATTCCAAGTCAGTGATTTCATGATTGAGCATTCAAAAAGAGAAAGTCCTCCTCAGGATGAACAATAAGAGGTAAATCTGATGCTCAGTAAATCAGCACACACGTCATGCACTTCTCCCTGAGAAAAAAAAAGATTCCTTTCATGCTTTCTCTTCGGTGCTGACGTTGCCATGGAGACAGAAACCTCTCCACCATGTATAATGTGCTTGTGAGGACTGCAATCTCTCATCTACATATTTGGTTACACTTCAATTAAAATTCACCCTATTACTCTTTTTTTTTTTACCTTCACATTCTATAATTCTTTACTAGGTTATTGAATAAAGAGCAGAGGGCAGAACGGCTACACCTCAGTGCACAATTCCTCCTTTAAAGATGGCTGTACAGTTTTTTTCTTGTAAGATATTTTCTTCTGGATTTTCAAAGTCTTGTTTTCTTTTAAACTGAAAAAATAAAACCTATTCATCATAATTTTAAGAACAATGTATTATACATTTATATAATTAAATGAAAATCTTCTATGCTCCTTTTTTCTAATTCCATTCTTTTCTCTGGAAGTACCATTGTTAATAGTTTGGAAGTATTCTTCCAAATGTTTCTGGGTGAACATTTATATACATATGTATATGGGTAGACATACCTATATACATACATACACATAAACAATTTTAAAAATATGGATGATGAGATTTTACTATAAACACTCTTCCATGAACTTGCTATTTTCTTAACATAGTATCTTGGGGTCTTTCTATGTCCAGACATACGGACGGATACACAACAGTCATGGAGTGAGTACACAGTGCTCCACTCCATGGGCGTAACGATTTATTTAACCATTCCTACCACAGATGACTAGAGGTTATTGTAATCTTGCTCTTGCAAAAAATACTGTGCATATGAGCAAATATTTCCGTGCGGCCGATTGCTAAATGCGGAGCTGCCATTTGAAAGGGTATTCCCCTTTATAGTCGAAAAGATCTTGTTAAATTGTCCCCCAATTTGGCTGTATCAGTTTATATTCTAACCTTCTGAGCATACAGTGTCCATTTTTCTTACTTACTCCTGCTGAAATCTGGATATTATCAACATTGTTCATTTTATCAATCTCATAGGAAGAAATATTTCACCTTTCATTTTACATTTCCCTGATATACTACTGGTAAGACAGAGCAACTTTTTAATTGTTCACAGGCTATTGATATTTCTTTTTCTGTAAATTCTCACTTAATAAGCTTTTCTGTTTCTCTATGAGCAGGTTTTTTTTTTTCTTATTGATTTGTTGAGGTCTATATATTTTGTGGGTATTCATATTTGGTTATACATGCTAAAGTGTACTCTCTAACTCCAGAGCTAGTCTTTAACTTCTTGTTTGGTATCTTGGGCAGTAAAGAATTAAAAAACCCCTGGGTGGGGGGTTGGGGTAACTGGGTGATGGACATTAAGGAAGGCACTTGATGTAATGAGCACTGGGTGTTATATGAAACTGATGAATCACTAAATTACTTCTGAAACTAGTAATACACTACATGTTAATTAAATTGAATTTAAATTAAAAAAATTAAAAACACTTTACATGGTCAAATTTGTCCTTTTTAATTTTGAGTTTTTAGTCTTACTGAAGGTTTCCCCATCCCCAAATTATGAAAATATTAACCTATATTTTCTCAGAAAATTTAAAACAAAATATAGATAAAAGAAGATTTTATATTTTTTCTAAATATATTTAATCAATCTATGATTTAATTTGGAACATGGTATGAGGTAAGAAACTATTTTCTCCAAATAGATATATGATTTTATTAAATACCAATGCTATTTATTAAATACCATAGTCATTCCCCACTACTATAAAATGCTCACTTTAATTTCCCTTATATTACTAGATCTGTGTTGATCTGTTTTCTCCACTTGTACTGTTTTTACCTAATGTTTTGGCATCTGGAAGGAGGAGTTCTACCTCAATTTTCTTCACAACTTTTTTTTTTGGGGGGGGGAACAGTATCTCTTCCTGATTAATTTTATTTTATTTTTTTTTTTTCAACATGGGGCTTGAACTCACAACTCTGAGCTCATGACCTGAGCCAAGATCAAGAGTTGGACACTCAACCAACTGAGCCACCCAGGCGCCCCTCTGATGAATTTTAAAAATCAGTCAGTGAAATTCAAGTCAAAACAATCCTATTGAAATTTTTCTTGGGGGACACCCAGATGGCACAGTTGGTTAAGCGGCTGCCTTTGGCTCAGGTCATGATCCCAGGGTCCTGGGATCGAGTCCTGCATTGGGCTCTTTGCTCAGCGGGGAGCCTGCTTCTCCCTATGCCTGCCTCTCACCCTGCTTGTGTGCTCTCTCTGTGTCTCTCTCTCTGACAAATAAATAAAATCTTTAAAAAAAAAGAAAGTTTTCTTAGGATTTAATATATAGAAAGTTTGGGAAAGAATATCTTTTCATCCACCAACATGGTATATTTCTATTTATTTCAGTTCTATTTCACTTCCTTTATTAAATTTTATATTTTATGCCACATAGGTCTTGAACATTTCCTGTTATGTTTATTGTTCAGTATTTTGTATTTTTTTGTTCCTACTGTGCATAAAATATTTTGCATTATATTTTAATTTGCATATTGTTTGTACAAAGGAAAACAGTTTCTTATTTGGTAAATTTATTTGGTCCTAATAGCTTTTCAGTTGAGTGTCTTATATTTCTGGTAGACAATCATGTCAAGTGTGACTAAAAAGAGTTTTGTCTCATCTTTTCCAAAAAATTCTACTTCTTATTCTTTTTCTTGACTCCTGGATTGTTCCTCCATTCCAAGGTTAATGGTAGCAGTGAGAAAAAGTACTTTGGTCCAAAACCAGTTGAACACTTCTAATTTAATCACTAAGTGTGTTGTGATAGGTTTATTTATACATCTCATTTACATGTAAATGCCAAAGTCTTTTTTTCCCCCAAACACTTCTAAAACAAAATTATTTGTGGGTCAGCTCCTCTTACGTCCCCATTATGGGACTGGACTGAAGATGGCACAAATGGGAAGGTATCAGTTCTCTAAGATCGACACTACGTAGGAGCCGTTGCTGCCCCTAAACCGAGTGTTACCCATAGTGCCTCTCCTGCATTCCAACAGCGGTAAGAGAGTCTTCCAACTAGAGCGGCAGACCTGGATATTTCCCAGGACTTCACCTGCTTGGGAACGTGGGTCAAGCCTTATTGGAAGAAGCCTGCAATTTGTACATATGCCATTTGGTGGTGCCCTGGATTTGGAAGTGAAGGCAAAATGCTTCAGAGTACCCCAGATATAGATGAGAGAGGTATCCTAAAGCTTTTTATGGGTAAGCAAAAGATGGAAATGCCCCAAGCCTCTAAAAAACGGTCTTAGAAAAAGCTAAGGGTCAGAATGAGAGTCAAAATTCATTTCAAAGATGGAGAATTTATGATATGCTTGTAGATCTGAGGCAATAATCTTAAATCACCACGTAGTTTAATGATACCTAAGACACTCTTCTAAAATAGGCAGGTAAATGCATCTAGTACACCTCAGAGAACAATTTAAATGTTCAAAGTATAAGGGGTACAATCTTAATGTAGATCTCTCAACACTTATACCTCTATGATTCCAGATAAAGGAAGTTTACTATAATGGTAAATACAGAGGAAGAAAATCTTCAGAAATAGATATGTAAAGTAACAAATTAATCTCTAGAAAAGTGCTTCTGCCATAATTTTTGAAACCTGACTTTAAAATAGATAAAATTCGGGCGCCTGGGTGGCTCAGTTGGTTAAGTGACTGCCTTCGGCTCAGGTCATGATCCTGGAGTCCCTGGATCGAGTCCCGCATCGGGCTCCCTGCTCGGCAGGGAGCCTGCTTCTCCCTCTGACCCTCCCCCTCTCATGTGCTCTCTCTCATTCTCTCTCTCAAATAAATAAATAAAATCTTTAAAAAAAATAGATAAAATTCTTCACCTTCAGGAGAAAGCTATGGAAAAATTCAAAAGGACTTCTGCAATTCTGTCTGAATAGGGTATGTATTTGTATAAACATCGTAATAACATGAATTTCAGAGCGAAAGAGTGCATTTAAGTTGCCACCTGAGGATTTCTTCAGTTTCATTTTCATAAAATGATTTTTTGATAAAGAGTTTTATTTTTCCTTCTCACCTTAGTCTTTCCTTTGGGTACATAATAAATTCCAGAAGCCCGTAAAAGAAAATAGCGCCTTTTCCAGGATTTCTTTCCATCTTCTTTCAAATAAAGAGCTCCTTCAAGTTCTGGCACAATGATGGATGTTCCACAGAAACTTTCCTGAAATTGAAATTCCAATTATAGAGAACCCAGGAAAGAAACAAAAACCACATTTTTGTTCACATTTAAACAAACTATGGCAAACTAGGCTTTAGGCTAAAAGTCATTTGTTTATAACTCTGAATGCATACAATTACACTGCATGCTATTTGTCAAAAGAGAGGAGGGATACCATGGTGGTTGAATCTCAGCTCTTGAGTTACACTTCAAGGCTTCTTCACCACTTAGCTTTGTGAACGTGGGCAAGTCACTAAATCTCAGTTCCTTTACTTGTAAAAACAGAGTCATAATAGCCCAGCTTAACAAGAAAGGTTGTGAGTACAATCTTGGTTTACTCTAAAAGTAAGCATTCCATAAAGGCTATTTCTGTTATTGTAAGTTGGTAAATACAAGAATTATTCCTTTTCCTACAAGTAAAAAAATTACTATTTTACTGCTAGGAAATAGAAAAATTAGAATATATAATCCTATACCTAAATATGTGTAAGTTAATTTATTCCTGTGATGGTTTTCTTACTGAAGAACAAAACAAGCAATTAATACTATGGTAACAGAAAAGGAGAGGGACAAAATAAATTTTCTGGGTGTAGATTTTCAAATGTCAAAACTTGCGTACAGTTATATAATTCTTAGAAATTTCTTTTAAAAAGCAATGCAGTAAAATTACATATCATTCTATCTCCCAGTTCAAATACTCAAATTTATTTTGGGCTTTCTTTTTTATAACTTTCAACCTCCTTTTGGGGTGCCTGGGTGGCTCAGTCGTTGGGTGTCTGCCTTCGGCTCAGGTCATGATCCCAGGGTCCTGGGATCGAGCCCCGCATCGGGCTCCCTGCTCTGCTGAGGCCTGCTTCTCCCTCTCCTACTCCCCCTGCTTGTGTTCCCTCTCTCGCTGTGTCTCTCTCTGTCAAATAAATAAAAATAAAATCTTGAAAAAAAAAAACCCAAAAAAACCAAAAAAACTTTCAACCTCCTTTCATTCCATCTCATAAATGTAGAATAACTTTTATTTTTGTACCCTGAAAGTAAATTTATATGTAGTAGAGCTGGGATACATTTGTGTTCACATTTCCCCCCAGTTTAGCTAGCATTAGTTTCCTTGTCAATAATCTTTTCAATCAGACTTTTGTTCCAAATTGGAAAGCAGGATAATGCTGATTTTTCACAGTATAACATGCTTTGTATTTTCTTTCACATCCAGCTTTTAATACACTGCTCAAGTCCTGTATCAAGAACTATTCAGGCAATTGTATACATCAAGGCACAAGCAGTCCCTGATTTACAGACAGCTGATGGATAAGCACTGATTAAAAACAAATGGCTGTGTCAGGAAACTTCACCCTCCCCTTCCATGTCTGTCAGTCCTGATCACTGCTAGGTACACTCAGAACCTGAATCTCCTTGCTGCTAGGGACACCTGGTGCTTTCTCTTCCTCAACTCAACCTGGAGTCTGGTAAATGCAGAGAACATCCCCATTCCCACTGCAGGGCCTCTGCGGGAAATACCCACTGTGTGCTCTTGGCCCCTGAAAGCAGAATCTGTAACATGTTTTCAGAACCTTGGGAGTGGCTGAAGGTTCTAGCACCTCCTCCACCTGGTACAGGGCTGGGAGAATGTGGTGGGGAGAGAAACCTGTGCGGGAGCCTGGCCAGACCTTGGTGAATGAGAGGGTGTTCGTCAAAGTCAACCAGCTGGTTCCAGGTGTGAATGTGGCCCAGGTGTCACTGGGTCTTCTGAGTTTTCAGAAGAAGCCTCAAATCTACTAATTCAAAAAAAGGTCAACACACTGTTGAAGAGGAAGAAAACCTGTCTAGGGCTCCAGCATGCCCATCTGTGACCTGTGATCTCTGCACTCCTTTGCATTATGTGCTGGGAACAAAGCCCTGAGTTTCAGCATAGTTAGTATGTGAAAACTCACTAGGAGTTTAAAAAAAAATCAACCATTAAATGAACTTCTGGAACATGACCCTATAGTGATAATCACAAACATGTGCAGAGTAATCGACACAATGCTTCCACTACCTCCTGGGACAGCTGTAATAATTCAATATGATCCAGGAGACTGAGGTCCTTGGACTCGCCCGATAACACATGAACCTCAGTGGTAGGCCCAGAACTTGTGTCAGGTTTCCCAACTCCAAAGCTCATCCTTCCTACCACACCTGGCTACTGGAAGAGCGTCTTAGAATTCACTGTAAAGGTTTGGAATTCCTTACATCTGACTTCTGTGGTGCACTTAAGTAATGAAAAACATGGAACGTTAAGAGGTGAGTTTTATGCGGATTCGTAAGTGTTTTAGTCCAGAATTACTAATCCAACTTCATGAAAGTGAAATATAGGCCAAAGCCATACTTTTAAACAACTAACTCAAAGAACCAGTTTAATTACCTAGCTATAATTTAGTAATAATTTGATTTTAAAGCCCCAAGTTAAAATTTCAGTGTGTCTCAGAATCTCCCATTGTTCTAAGAAGCAAATAATTTAAAAATAGATACAGTTAATACCCTTCTCTTTTCTTCCACTCAGCAAAATTAAACTTACCTCAAGTAAGGATTCCTTGTTCTTAGCATTCATTTTCTCATTTGTTTCCTTTCCTTCTTTTTTTCCTTTGTTATCCAGGTAAAAATTCTAAATAAAATATACAAAGAGCAGATCAGTAAATGTTCATCGCCATGCTAACCACTGCAGGGAACCCATGGTCTTGCTGGAGAGAGAACACCCACCTACAGGAAATAAAGTGGGAACCACAGCCTATGGTATGTGTCAACCAAACACCTACCGACCGACCGTTTACCAAGCGCTGACTACGTCGTCACTGAGGCTGATGTAAAACCTTCTCTTCTAGGGGCGCCTGGGTGGCTCAGTCGTTAGGCGTCTGCCTTCGGCTCAGGTCATGATCCTAGGGTCGTGGGATCGAGCCCCGCATCGGGCTCCCCGCTCTGCGGGAAGCCTGCTTCTCCTTCTCCCACTCCCCCTGCTTGTGTTCCTGCTCTATCACTCTCTCTGTCAGATAAATAAATCAAATCTTTAAAAAACAAAACAAAAAAAACCTTCTCTTTTTTTCTCAGCATTAAAATGCTCTAAATACCATAGGAGAGAACCCAGATCCACAACAGTGTAGATGCACTTAATGCCACTGAACTATACTTAAAAATGATTACAGTGGTAAATTCCATCTTATGTATATTTTGCCAAAATAAAAAACAACGAGCAGTCATAAGAGTGAATGCAGAGTGCTGCGCCCAAGTACCCCTCGCTGGAGAGTCCTGGAAATGTGAATTATGTATGAAAGAATGAGCAGAGAACACGAATGAGGAAACCCTGTAGCATGCGCTTTTCATCGTCATCTGGGAAAAGGAGAGCACCTGCAGGGATAGGTAAGGGAAAAGCCTTTCTAAACTGTGAAGGGCCTCATTTTATGAGGATATCCCAAAGGGTCAGGATCTGCAGTTGTGTCTTCTCTGAGATTTTCTCTGAGACCCCTCTCACTTTTTCAGCTCAGAATAAGTTTTTTCCCTCTCCAAGTGATGGTGCTATACTGTTTTCGTTTTAAAGAAAATGGAAAAAACACAAAGTAAACCAGAGCTGGAGTTCAGGGAGCTTAGTCCTTAGAACGGACTGATCGCCCTTGGGTCAGAACTTTTCATCAGTCGGGTGGTCAGCCAACGCAGTTTGGGCTGCTCTGTAGCAAGCAGCAGAGCTCAAGAGTGAACTCATTATCTGTTACACATGGAGCTGTGGGCAATCTGAGCTGAACAATAAGAGAACTTTAAAATGGGAAATGAGACTTTCAGTTACAGCTTGCTCCCTTTTCTCACAGCTGAAAATGCAAGATTCGGAGGCAGCTGAAAAGCAAAGAAACAGAGCATTACTTTTTAAAATATATTTTAAAAATACATTACTTTTAAAATACCACCTTCTTGGAATTAAGAGCAAACCAAGCAGTTATCAGTCCATGAATAAAGATCTGTGAGAACCCTCTACATGTAAAATACCCCTGTTCTGAGAATCTTTTTCTGTCTCATTGAGAAGATATGTATAAATAGATGGCTATGATCTATAGATGGGGAGCTACATGAGACACTGCATAAATTCAAAATGAGCCATTTCTATAGGTTTTCAGAAAGGAAGACAATCACTGTAGGCTGAAATGGTCAAGGAAGGCTTTGCAGAGGGGGTCAAAGTTTGAACCAGGCCTGGAAGATGTTCCATATTCAGATAGGGAAAAGGAATGAGGAAAACATTTGAGGCAGGAAGAGAAGCATGTACAAAGGCCTGGAGGTAGTTAAGGCCTGGGTATCTTCGAGCCACCAGTCTGGCTACGGCTCGGGACTAATGCAGCACAGCTGAAGACCAGACTCTCCCTGCCAATTCTTCTCTTCTCCCCATGTCCGAATACACTCGGGGCCCGTCATCAAGTGACGGAGCGGTGCCTTCGCCTACCATGGGTGGAATTCCTGTCCTTGCCCCACTTGTGTTGGGCTTAGCCACGTGACTTGCTTTGGCAGAACAAGAATGTGGGTGGAAGGGCATCGATTCTGAGCAGAGGACTTGAGAGGCTGTGTCATGTGTTTCCACACAACCCCCTGTACTCTTGCCATTCACCGTGAGAAGCATGTGTCACAGGGAGCTACTGGTTTGAGGACAGTGAGAGACAAGACATGACTCACATTCTGGAACCAAGGATGATGACCCAGGAGAGAGGAAATGTCTGTGACTGTAAGCCACTGGGATTCGGAGGTTGTTTTTATGCATTGAACACTGACTGATACACACGCCCACCCTGGCTGGTGAGTGGATCTAGGGCACTGAAGCCAAGGGTAGACTTTCCTTTAACATAGGAAGCCATATTGGAGACCAGAAATGTGATTACTGTAAGAGTTCTTCCTGCTGGGCCTGGTCCTGGATGGTCAAAGATGAACCTTGGTGGGAGAGGGAGGGTGGAAAGGAATGGCAGAAAGATGCCATGATCATTCCACCATGTTAATTTTCTCCCTCAGTGGCTGGTACCCTTCTGCACCTGAGGAGCAGAATGAAGTTATGTTTCTCTCTCTGTTCCTCACTCGTGCAGCCATCACTGAACCACAACCACCACCAAATTTCAGTTAAGGAACAGAACAGATGATGGAATGAACATTGCCTAAAATATCAACAACGATCATTGTTGGAGTGCAGGATTATGGATAATTTAAATTTCATTTCTTCTGTTTGTCAACTTTTTTCCCTTACAATAAGTTGATGTTATTTTTGAAGTCAGAAAAATAAAATATGTTACTAAAAGAAATAAAAAGAAATTCACTAAGCAAGCCACCTCATATTAACTGATTCACCAGTACCTTCTTTGAAAAACAGATTGTTCAGGCTCCCAGCAAGAAGAATGGCTAATGTTAATACTGCAGAGCTTCTCTACCTCCAGACACACTCCTCAGTCCTTACACCTCTCTTCTGGTTTCCAGGCAACATCACTGGTCTCTGCATAGTGGGACTTTGTGTTGGCATGACCCTGGGAAACAAAACTCTTCAGGTTGCAGCTGACTTCCACTTCAACAGCAGGCCTTATTTAGGAATAGCAGACAACCCTGTGCTTCCAATCAACTGGGAAGAGGAACTTTTCTAACGACAACCAGGCTGAGAAACTAAGCTGCTTTTAAAATAAAGTTGCTTTTATTAGGATAGTAAGTGTCCCGGTGCTCCTGGGTGGCTCAGTGGGTTAAGTGTCTGCCTTCAGCCCAGGTCATGATCTCAGGGTCTGGGATTGAGCCCTGCGTCCGGCTGTCTGTTCAGCGGGGCGTCTGCTTCTCCCTCTCCCTCTACTCCTCCCTCTTGCACGCATGCTCTCTCTCTCTCCAATAAATAAATTAAAAAATCTTAAAAAAAAAGAGAGAGAGTAGGTGTCCTAACCCACTTTACCCAAAAGAAACAGTACCACCTGGGCAAGAGGGGCCCCTGCCCTGACTCCACTCTTTAGAGGGTCTCTGCTCTAACCTTCACCCAGCCACTCCCCTACTCACAGGGCGACAAGTCTGAGGGGCTAAAAGGATATGCCCACTTGGAGCCAATGATCCCCCTACATTTCAGTCCACACTCTACAAACCCAGACCCTTGGACTTCCCTGCCCAAATGGCTCTGAGACTCTGCCCTATATCCATCCTCCCAAGGGTAGATGTTACATCCTAGGCCAGAGGGCGGCCAAGGGGCAGCTCGTTGCAGGGGAGTGATGGGTTGTCTGGAGTCTACTCTCTGGGCTGGATCATCCACATCATGCATGCAAGGCTCCCATGGTGCAGGATGGATGGGATGGGTGGGGCGGGGGGGGGGGGGGACGTCTAGAGGTAGGCCATGAGCAGCTCCAAGATACCACCTTGCACAGAACTCAAAGAAATCTAGGAATACTAAGTCCAAACTTTTAGGTCATTATGAAGGCATTAAGGTAAGAAGATAGAACACATTTAACTGCTTATTAACTTGATTTAGAACTTTAAATATATAGATATATGGTATATAAGCCTTCAATCTACTCTTGCCCCGGGCCCTAATAAATATTGGGGGTGGGCTTGCACAGAGGCCTGTCCTCCATTCCCTGTGGGATTCCACATTGCCTCCCACCCCATCCTTTTTATTCTCTTCTTCTAGTCATCAGGCCTACTTGAAATGCAAAATAGAAATACAAAAGAATTTCTTCAGACTCTTTCTCTTTGAGAAGATGCTTAAGTTTCTGGGACATTTGAAACCTTGGGAAACTTTCTCAGTTATAGAACAGCCACAGTTGTTAATGAGTAGAACATGACATCTCCCCTTCCTCATCCTGGATTTTCCTGCCCATCAGCCTACAGCCTTTAAAGTCTACACCCTGGAACCTGGGCTAGAACAGGTCCCCATCTCTGACAACTTTGTCTCAGTGCTTAGGATACAGTGCTAAATACCCTTCCTCAGCCCACAGTATCCTGGCTATACTTCACTGGCTACTGACCCCATGCCCCCAGGCACACAGCCAAACAGAATGTCCCCATGTCACTCATTTGTCCTCTGCATGGACCTCACTTCCTAAAGAATGCTGGTTGCTGTTTTTATTTTCACACTAGTTCCTAGATGCTTCTGCTCCTTCTGTCCATTACATCCGGCAGATAGGCCCTTGCATCTTGCCTACAGTCTCTTCCCTGGCTTTATTCTAGGACAATGTAGATGCTCAAGAAATGTTTGCTGGTTTTGAGCATCTTGAGCAAATACCTGGCATCCTGGGGAACCTAGGGATTAAATCCTTACCCCCTTAGTTTGTCCTGAACAACTTCAGGTAGCCTGAGGTTAGACTCCTATTCACACTTCTTTGAGTCCTTGCCCAAAACTTCCGCGATTATACAACACCACTGTCCTAGATCAAAGTCTGGTCTGGCTCCACTGTGATCACCCTAATCTGAGAGCAACCGCTGGAGAGTGGCTACCACCCTCCTGCGTGCCTCCACTGTTTCTCTTCTCCAGACTATTCTCAACAATGAAGCAAACTAAAATAATGATAATTATTACTCTTTGTGTGGATGATAGCCTTTAATTCTCCCCGCACACTTCTAAAAACAAATTATCTCCATTTTCAGACAAGAAAATAGAGACTTGGTGAAGTTAAATGATTTGCT